GGGGAGGGGCTGAGGGGAGGGGGTGAAGGGGGGAGAAGGGAGGATAATGGGAGATATCTCAATAGGAGGTATCTGGAATACTATCAAGAATAAAAATACATTAAAAAAAATAAAAATACATAAAAACTCCGTGGGAAGCGCTGGATTTGAGAGAAGGGACAGGCTCCCAGATGGATGTTTGAGGCAGACTCTGACAGGGCCCAGGGCCTGTTACTGGTTGAGCTGGTTGAGGAGGGCTGGGTTGCTGAACTCATCCCAGATTAAGAGCTATTCAGATAGAAGGGGAAGGAGCTGAAATTTGCATATGTTAACTGGCATTTTGTAGGTATCTGACCTTTTGAAGTGGAAGATCTAGTGGTGATAGAAATATCTCAGGAAGAGTCAGTACTGGGCTCAGAAGAAGAAATGTTAGGTGCTGCTACCCATTTCTGAGCAGATCTAAAAGCTCCGTTTGTCTTCAGTTGTCTTAGGGGAGCTTTTATTTATTTCTCTAAGTAGAAGCTGGAATCTCTTGAGGAGGCTGATGCCGTTCGGTAATCCTTTCTAGTTCATCTTGAGCATGTTCATTGTAACATTGCTCCCAGTGCACCTGAGTGAGAGACTCATAAAAACAACTATTATTATAAAGTATATCTAAGGTGTATTTTTAAAGAGTAACAGTAAGATAAGTCTGTGTGTACAGTCTTCCTGAATACTGTTTAATACAAATTTAAACTTATCCCTGGTATTTAAAAGAAAGTTTCACTGTGGAAACAAGAAAACTGTATTGAAAAATAATATGGCCAGTTGTTTAGATTTTGGTCAGTTGGATAAGTTGCAAAGTAAGTCAGCATAAAAATTTTAAAATAATAAAGTTAAAGCAAAGGCTACAAGGTTTAGTTATTAGGGGGGTTTGAATGTGGGGAAATCAGTTTGAGAGGGGGAGGTGGGTTAAAAGGCAAAGACATAGTGGCTTAAGGGGAGCCAAAGTGCAGATTTATAATGGACAATGCTTTATCAAATTAAATAATACAACTTGTACATTTAAATTAATAATACTATGCAGTTACCCATATTATTAAATATTATCATTTATTTGGGCAGCAAAGTGTTGTCCCTGTATAATTGCATTTTAGTCTTTCAACAATAATTGGGTGAGGTTAACTGACATAGGCATATTACCCACATAATGTCCATGTTATGTAAATAAATTTAAATAAGAGGACTTGCCTACTTACTTGTTATATTACCCATAAATGATGAGAGTTCATGAATATAAAGGTAATTAAAAACCATGTTTAGACATCAATTTTGGAAGTGTCACATTGACCTCCAATGTTTTTAACTTCCACAGAGAGAGGATTAATGCATTTCGAGACTTGGAGCCAGTAGAACCTCCTAACTGCCACCTCATTGAGGGAATTGGTATGTATGTGACAGTACCAAGAGGGCAGCACAGTTTCTTGGTCACCTTCCACTTGAATGAGGCTGCCAACTGATTTAACCTCCTGCTACTCCTTAGACCAGTGATGACAAACCTTTTGAGCTCGGCGTGTCAGCATTTTGAAAAACCCTAACTGAACTCTGGTGCCGTGTCACATATAGAAATTTTTTGATATTTGCAACCATAGTAAAACAAAGACTTATATTTTTGATATTTATTTTATATATTTAAATGCCATTTAACAAAGAAAAATCAACCAAAAAAATGAGTTCGTGTGTCACCTCTGACACGCGTGTCATAGGTTCGCCATCACTGCCTTAGACCTTCCACTTTACCCAAGCTACCTCATCCCAGATCTTCAAGCGGTCTCTTCAATGTCAAAACCAGCAGCTCTTTCTCAGTTCTCTTTCTTACTGATGTCTCTCTATCATTTGAAGAATGTCATTGGCCCATACTTTGCCAAACTCTCCTCCTGTCCCTTCTGTGATATTTCATTCCCCTCCCTGTCTTCTTTTGTTGCCCATCTTACTTATCTTTTTTCTTCTTCCCTCTCCTTGATATTTCTGGCTTCATTGTCACTTCCTGCAAAATGTACCTGCAAGTACCAAGAAGAATATCCCTTAACCCTTATCCTGAAGGACCTCGCAGCCTACTGAGCTGTCTTTAACCTCAGAGGGAAGGCAGGGGAGGGTGGTGAGAAGAAATCAACCAATGAACTTGTGTGCATATATGCATCACACATGGACATAAAGAATGGGGTGGTGAGGGCCTAGGGGGTTGAGGGAGAGGTGAAAATGGGCTGGAAGAGGTTGGGCGGGGGAGGAGGACCTATGTAGCATTTTCAACAATAAAGATAAAAAATAATAAATAAATAAATAAAGTACTTGAAAATCCATAGCTGGATCCCAAACCTCTCAAATGGCAGGCCTTCTTTTCCAGTCTGAAATCAACTTGATTCTACTTCACACTTCTGGCATTTTCTCCCTTGAACCCCCACCCACAACCAGCTCCTTCTAGATAACACTTCCTCCTTTAGTCCTGCCTGCATGACACCCCCATTCTCAAAGAGACTCAGTTCACAGTCCAGGAAGCATTGCTTTCCTTTGTGCCTCGTTGTTCACCTGACACAGGCTTGCAGCAGCGTCCCCCACACAGGGCTCATCTCACCTGCTAGTGACTGCTGAGACTGCTTATTTGGGCTCCGAGCCTCCAATTTCCCAACACTTCTACTCGAAAAAGTAGTTCAGTTAGATTCTGTTCACTGTTCTGGGAACGAGTGTTTTTCACTCTCTCACCTTTGCTCATGCAATTCCCTTCGCTGATTTCTTCATCTCTGCTTGCTGAAGTCAGCCACAAATTTCCCTCCTACCTCTAAGTTCTCGCAGCACTCTGAAAGTCTGGGTCACTTATGATACCTATCACATGCTTTGTTTTATAACTAGCAGTGTTTTCTCTTTCTCTCAATATCAGATTGCAAACTCCCTAGGGTCAAGGACTTTGCCTCATTTATCAATATGTGGCAGGATGACAGCATAGTTTATTGTGATAAGAGTTTGTAACGTAGATATACAAAATCAGAAAGAATCTTGTGTTCCCTGGTCTTAAAGGAGGTTTGTGCTGCCGGCTAGAAAGCAGAAAGAGCTGGAGACCAACTCCTTCCTGATTTTCATTTTCAAACTCTGAGCTCCTGCAAGGGATTCTGGTAGAGAAGGAATGAGAATATGTGGGGTTTTTAAATAACAGGGATCCTTGCCCCCGTGCCTGGCAGTATCCTGGGGAAAAAGCAAGGTCTGGGAAGGAATAGCAACAAGGCATCTTTAAGAGGCTGGATTATTTTTACTGTGTTTCCCAGCTTCAGCCAAAGTCAGGGGCCCATGTAAGTCATGGAAGTGGCAGAATTGTCTAAATCAGCGATTTTTAACCAGTGTGCCACAAGAATTTTTAAAACATACAATACTTGACTATTTAGTTAGGGTCACTGACCTCTTTTCCCTTAGATTGTCAAATGAAAAAAAATGACAAGAGTCAACACAACAATAGCTGTTCAGTATGAATGAATCAAAATGATACCTACTTTTGTTGTTAGAATGATAAAAATTTAATATATATATATGGGTGTGCCACAGAATTTTAGTAATTAGTTTATATGTGCCAGGAGATGAAAATGGTTGAAAATCACTGGATTAGCCCTGGCTGGATTGGCTCAGTGGCTATAGAGTGTTGGAACTGCAGACTGAGGGGTCCATGGGTTTGATTCTAGTCAAGGGCACATGCCGGGTTGTGGGCTCGATCTCCAGTAGGGGGCATGCAGGAGGCATCCAATCAATGATTCTCTCTCATCATTGATAGTTCTATCCCTCTTTCCCCCTCTCTTCCTCTCTGAAATCAATAAAACTATATTTAAAAAAAGAAAAGTAAATCGCTCAATTCAATGATATCTAGGTCTACACTCAGGTTATGTAATTCAAACAGATTTGAGAAGTTGAAACTACAGCTAATGTTGTAAGACATAAATCAACATACTGATTATCCAAATATTTTGAAGAGAATGATTTAAAGGAAGTTGGCTGAGATAGAAGGGGAAAAATGCCTTATTACTCTATAGCAGGTTCCATTTGTTTTTTTAGCTGGCTGTCAGAACCGTTGTTCCAAAAATGTCACACGATTATAGGATTAATTGGTAGTCATGCTTTGGCATAACCCTTTCTAAGGGTGCCTTAGGGTATCCTCTTTCTACTTTGTGTGACCTCTCTGTAGTTTCTCCTCAGTAGCTTGAAAGTAGCCAGACTTCTTACATTTAGGTTCAGGGTTCCCAAGATTGATGGAGGGAGGGGGGAAGCGGGGGGGGGGGGGGACGAGGAAGGAAAGGAACAAGACACTAGCAAAAGCTATGGCTGTGACTTTAAACTTGTATGTCAGTTCTGTAGCATCACCTCCACTTAATTCTATTTGTCAAAGCAGTTACAAAGGTCTGCCCAGGTTCAAGGGAACAGAATATAGACTTTACCTCTTGATGGGAGAGTATGAGCATCACATTTTTTAAAAAGAGCATGTGGACTCGATACATATTGATTCTATCATATTTGCAACATACATTTCGCCACACTAGATAACCAATGCCTTTACTCTCAGTCCTGCCTGCTTGGACCATATCACCCGTGGTTCTATCTCTCTACTAGGAGACATGCAAGCCTCTTTTTTATCCTAGTCTCAGTCATAAGTTACTGGTTATATGCTTTTTCCCAAAGAAAAACACTCAGGACCAGCTCTCAATGGAAAGAGATCTGACCAAACTCTTTACATTCATTTACATTTAACACTCCATCTTAAGACATACTGCCTTTGTAAAAGAGAAACATTACTCAAAAATTTCCCATATGATTAGATAATAGAATTTTTAAGCCTCAACAAGTTGGAAGAAGAGAAATGCTTGGGAGAGAGACCTTTAAGAGACCTTCAAAATGATGACTTTCCAAATATTATCACTTGGTCTGTAGATCAAGTTTTCTCTGGGGAGTAAAGCTGAATCTCCCAGCTAGACGTCATTATTTAAAGAGTAAATCTAGGATATCAATTTATTTTATAGTTATTTGTTTTTTCTACTGAGATGGAATTCTAAGAAAAAAATTGGAGTCTGACTCAGGTTTCATTGTAGAGTAGCCTGCCTGTGGGATTCTTGACAGTTAATATAGTTTCCCAAGTAAATAGTTGCAAAAAGTCAATGGAGTTTCCAAAAGAAATTTAAAGTTTTGACTGTGAGATTTATCTTTTAAGCTTTCAAACACGCATCTTTCTGATCCTCTACTTCTTTTGCAGAAAATGGCTCTGAAGATATTGATATACTTCCCAGTGGGCTGGCTTTTATCTCCAGTGTGAGTATCTTCCATACCCCTCGGATACTCATGTCAATAACTGTATAGACAGCACATTAATGTTGCTGACTAAAGCTGACAGATGGACCCCTACACATTCATCCCACCTGCGGGTAAACCAGTCAACTAAAAAAGCCAAAACAGGATTCTAGAGAGCTAATCAGGACACCACAGGAATGCTCAGGCCTGCTCCCTGTGGGCAGTTTCATACTCAATGGGGACTCAATAAATGTGTAATGATTTTCGTTCAATTCCTAAACTAAATCTCCAGATCTGTCCTT